GGAAGGTCATGGGTGGACAGGGAAGTGTTCTGGCATCAGGACTGACCACCACTGCTGCTGAGGTGGTGGGGCGCCTCCAGCCCAAAGCTTTCCTCCAAGTGGCCTCAGTCCAAGTCTGTCCAATGAACTTCTGAAGAGTGTTTTTTGAGTGCACCAGGTCAAGAAGAGAGGTGAGGCCCACCCATGCCCCATCCTGCCCTGGAGCTGGCCTTGCTGACTAATGTCAGAGGACCTTCCTGTGGACCCCAGCCTGGCTGCCCTGCCCTTGGCAGCCTTGCTCAAGAGCCCCACTGGCCCTACCCAGTGGAGTGCAGACTCCTGCCCAAGCAAAGAAAACAAGGCCACAAAAGTATAAACAGTTGCCCTGCAGGCACTCGTAAGTGAGACCAGGACTGGGGTTTAACCTGTTTGCCCAGTATCCCGTCCCACTGTGTCAAAGTAGCTAGCTTGTACATTGACATGTCACAGCTGAGACTGCATCTAGTGTCTAACTTATATGCTGTTTGAGCCCCATGAGCAAGTCTCAAGGAAAGCGAGAAGGCCAGGTGCCTCTTTAGTACATGGTGTTTGTGACCTGTTAGTTTGGTATTCGTGAGCTATGGAGGCTGTGTTCTCTGTGTGAGCCAGTGGGCTATGCCTTGTTGTCTGGTCCTGGTGAGTTGGGCAACTCCATTTCTTCCCGAGTGATGCTGGCATGTAACCATCAGGGTTCTATATCAGGCTCCTCCCAGTCTTTAAGGACCTTTTGTGAGGAATAAGCTGGAGAGAAGCATGTGATGAATTTATTTTGAAAATTAGAATTACAGAATAGAGAGAGAAACAGAGTCTTCCATCTACTCGTTCACTCCCCAGATGGCCTTAACAGCCAAGGCAAGCCAGCTTAATGGCAAGAGCCAGGAGCTTCCTCCAGGTCTCCCACATGGGTGACAGGGGCCCAAACACTTGCACCATCTTCCACCATTTTTCCCAGGTCAACAGCAAAGATCTAGATTGGAAGTGGAGTAGCCAGGACTTAAACCAGCACCCATAGAGGTTTGCAGGTGCCACAGGCAGCAAATTCACCTACTATACCACAATGCTGGTCCTGTGGTGAATTTTTGTAATACTCCGAACTTTTACGTCATTTCTCCAAAGACTGAATCCTCGCAGGATGATCATGAGCCATCTTGCCATTTCCCACACCCTTCGAAGCTCTCGCTGTGTTACATTCCACTTCATCACATACAGGTGTCAAAGGAGCCATATCAAGTCCGAGTCTGCAGACCAATTTTTATCTTGCATCTTGGAAACAGAGAAAAAGGAGGCAGCAATTCATTAATCCACTTGTAGTAAATTGATGCCACCAGAACATGGCCAGACAGAGGTAGAGAATAAATGTGACGGGCCTTCTCCTTTGAAAATGGACCAAAGCTTCAGATGACACCTGCACGGGCTGTGCTCAGACTGTCTCCCTTGCTTATGTGTCATCAGCATGATAGATCATCTCCCTGCTTCTTTTATTTCCCCTTAAACACCAAGTACACATTTGTGCTCAGCTTCCCTCCCCCGAATTGGTCCGGCAGTAAATATTCCAAACCACTGAGTTGTAACGGGCCAGATAAGGGGCTGTCCTGACAGCAGGCAGCCTCGCTGTGGGCTAGTTTCTATGGCGCTTCTAAAACTGTCAGGGCAGAAACTCTGTCTTCAGAGGCCAATCTTCGTTTCATCTTCACGCGTGTCCCGCGCAGCGACGGCGACGTGCGCCTTTCCAGGAGATGAGCTATAGTCGTATCTCAGATCTGCACTTGAAAATTTCACTTTCAAATCATGTGGCTGTGTGTCTAAAAGTGGAATGTGGAACCAAACCTTGTCAGAAAAGTTCTGAGGCAAGAGGCCAAAGAGGAAGGAAAGGAGTTTGACAGGGCCTTCCTGAGCCCATGCTTTCTCCAAGACAATAGCGAGAAACTGGAGGGCGCCACATGTAACCTGGCTCTTCAAAGGCAATCAGACTACAGCGCAAAGTGTGAAGAAGGGAAGAACCACCAGGGGCACCTCTGACCTAATTAGAGAAACTTCATTTCAGCCAGCTCCCGTCTAGAGCCTCTCCTTTACTGCTGTTTGTCCTTTTGTTCCCCGACTGCTTTGAGAGGTGCAGCAATGAACAGGGTTAGCATGGGAAAATCACAGCATTGGGACCCTTAGGCTGCCTGAGCCCAATTTTTTCATCCGAAGCAGGGTAGTGTGGGAGATGGGTAAGAATGATGAGGGTGAAGGGTGCTGCTGGACGTGGTCGGTGCAGCATAAGCCCTGGATGCCATGAGGGACTCTTCCGTGGACAGGTGAAGGGCACCTTCCCAGTGCCTCCTATGATGTTTTGGATGTGATCCGCCACCAGCTGGCCCCTCCCTTTGCAACGTTCCCATCAGAGATGCTGACATTACACCGCTGCTTTCGCCACTCTGGCCAAGTTGGCTTCTCCGTGTCTATGCCCACACTGTTCTCTGCTTGCAAGGTGCCTCCAGGCCTATCAGATGCCTGCACATCCCTGCTCAGTCATCACACTTGCTCTGAGGAGCCTGACTTCCGTCCTCCTTCTCCTATCTTCCCACAGCCCCAGGGTGCTATGAGAGGTCCTTCATCACAACCATCCTTACTTGCATTGGTTAAGCTCATTATGTATGCTGTAAGCAACCTGAGTGTGTAGAACATTTTATACTTCTCTGCTGTCCCAGCAACTCACCTACTATGCCTGGCACAGTGGCATATCAGGGAGGTCTTTATAGGGTGGATGAAAGTATGAATGGATGAATGAACAAGCTCCACCTCTCCTTGCCTCATCTCTCCGTGTTCCTGTCTCCTCTTTTCCTCTTGACCTAACGTTGGCCTACACTGTTGCCCTGACCTTCCTGTGGGTTGAAGGCTGAGCCAACATGTCCATCACAGTGCTGCTTATATTTCTTTTTCCTGACGTTTATCAGTGTAGTGCTGAGCAGCCTTTGCAGTCCTTAGTCGCTCACTAGAAACCCTTGAACCTCTGCCTGCAGTTTTTCTCACCCCTATTTAGCAAATGCTTTCCAAGAGCCTACTCAGCAGCAACAGGTGCTGTGTGAGGTGCTGTCTCGGGTATTGAAATGAGAGCAGCCTGCAGCTGGATCAGCTGGTGCTGGGATGCAGGCAAAGAGCCAGGCTGTGGCAGGTATAAGATCCAAAATGTTATATCTGTTTGAGGGTTACAGGGAATATTTTGTGATCTGTGTGTAAGAGACTGAGGGTATGGGGCAGGGGTAAGGAGGCTCCAAAGAGTGAAGGCAGACTTGTCTGTGTGGACTCGTGAACGGTGGAAGGCAGGGGTCTTTTCCTAAGACCCAGGGTAACCCAGAGACTGCCCCCTTGGGGCACCCACTCTGTCATCTGTACCCTTGGAGAGCCTTGGATCCTCACCCAAGGTCACTTCTTCCCAGGACACCCTAACATTTCATCCCACCCTGGTCAACACCTGCTTTCTCGTCATTTCCCGGTATGACCTCCACAGACAGCAATCTCTTGGGTGATGAAGACCAGAGCGCACCCTCCCCCTCTCCCATCCTTCACACTCTGGGCATCATAGAAGCGTTTTCTGCGTCTGAGCAAGTTCAGAGTCCTTTTGCTTCCTCACACCCAGCTGCTGAACACCGAGGAGTCCCCGAGTGCGAAGTTATAGTGATGAGTAAATGAGACACTAAAAGAGGCCTTGCCGTCCTCGAGCCCCATGGACATCAGTCCAGTGCCCCGTGACTAGTTCATGAGCATTAACACTATTACCAGATGACCAAGGAATTTGCTACTAAATGAAGCTAGGAATGAGTGGTGGGGAGGTGCCTGGTAAGGCCAGGCCCGGCCTGGCTATGCACAGCCCTCACCATGCCTAGTGGACAAGGGCCCTTAGGAGTGAGATGAAAAGTAGCTTCTCGTTGCTGGCGGCTGGCCCCCTGGGCAATTGTGCTGCGCGTTGTCTGCGTCTCAATAGTCCCTGCAGGGTTCTTGTTGCAGATTGATGACCACAGCCTCAAGGCCCTCCAGTCTGGGAGAATGGAGAGCAGGGTCCCAAAGGCTCTGTCAGTGACAGGAGTCTGAGTCGTCAGAAGGAAGAGAGGCCGTAAAACTGCCAGCAGGATTAAGAAATGGTTGTTGTCATCAGAAACATGGGCAAACAGCACGAGGCCCCTTCCCAGTCCCCTCTCCAGAGCGTGCATGGCCCCAAACAAGAGAGGTCTTTGGTCTCCCCCTGCTGCTGCTGGAAGCTGTGCCAGGGTCTGAAGACAACAAATCCAGGCCCTGTCTTCATGGTGATCACATCTACCCTGGTGCAGTAAAGACTGCCTGGGGAGAGAGGTGACGGTCAGGGATGTCTAGCCAACACACACCCAGCTTGGAAAAAAGCAAGTGTTAGCCTTAAACAGTTGGCAGAGGCATGAAAGTAGGGGCTGCTTCAGACCAATGTGGGCTCAAGTGATGGCTCGGGGGCCCTAGAGGGAAGGCAGCAGGGAAGGCCCTGTGCCCAGGAAAAGAACTGCTCAGGAAAGGGATTCATAACCCCCTGGATTGGTGCAGAAGCTTGGGGGCATCAAAAGCATCCTCAGATGGATCAGAGGGGAGTTTTGTGTGACTCTGAAGGCTCTAGATGCCATTAAGTTGTACACCTGTAACAGGTGGGTCATATCGCAATGTATGGGAGTTGTATGGGGGCCCTTGGCTTAGGTTTTTAGCTCAGTTATGCATGTGATCTCATTTGGCACTGACTCAGCAGATGGAAGAAATGGGCTTTCACTTGACTTCCTGGGACCAGTGTAGTCCGTTAAGAGGAGCACCTGAAAGACAGCCTGTAGTAGCAAGAGGGACAGGCAGAACAAGAGGAAGAGGTTTTCTCCTGCTACTGCCATTGTCACTGTGCTTTTGTGGTGGCATGGCCAAGCCGGAGGCACATTCCCTGCTTCCCCCAGTAGATTGTGCAGGCTTGATCCCAAATGTTCCTTTGTGCCTAGGACATGGTCCGGCGTGGCGAGATCATCGACAATGACGTAGATGACGAGTTGTACCTGCGACGCCTGGATGCCGGGCTCTTTGTCCTACAGCACATCTGCTACATCATGGCTGAGATCTGCAATGCCAACGTCCCCCAGGTAGGAGGGGCTTCCCTTGCACAGGCCACACCCTCCCTGCCTTCCTTCGCTGCACCTGCTCTGGTGCAGGCTCTGCATGGGAGGCAGGGATAGAGCTCCCCCTGTGGGACTTCTTTTCTAGGTCCAGGATGGGACCAAGATGCTATGTTCTGGTGTCTGTTGAGATAAACAATCTCTTTCCCTTCCCTCCCTGCTCTGTCCCTCCCTCAGATCCGCCAGAGGGTCCACCAGATCCTAAACATGCGAGGGAGCTCCATCAAGATTGTCAGGCACATCATCAAGGGTGAGTTGAGAGACCTTATGCCTGGGGCTCTGGGGACTTGTGCAGGGCTGAGCTTCCACTATCAGGATCCCTGGGGTTTGATGCCCAGGGTTCACTGTGCTGCAGACTTAGCTGCTGTCACTTCACTGTGTGTCCGGGTCCTCTTTGTTAGATCTGCCTCACCAGTTCCAGAACCTAAACACCCAGCCAACAGAAGCTCTGGGACTCAGGGAGATTTGTTATTTTTTTTTTTTAAAAAGGCATAGCAAGTGCTCCAATTCCAAACCTGTGTAAAGTGGAAGAAAATTGCTTGCTTTGGGAAAGCAGAAATGTGATGAGCAGTAGCTGGGACTGTACAAGACAGAAAGTGGTGAACTGGAGACAGGATAGTGCAGGCAGCCCTGGAAGTAGCCTCAGCGGCGTGCTGACCCAGGAGGAGGGGCTTCAGGTATTACGGGAGGTACTGTCTACAGGGTTGTGTCTTGTGCTCACTTGCTGAGGGTCCACCTGACCCAGCTGGAGTGGCTCTGGAGAGACCTCCAGTGAGCAAGCCTCAGGGACTTTTTGGGAAGCACAGACCAGCACACAAGATGAGCTGGGCCCGTGTTGAACTTTCCCATCCTGGGAGTGCCAGAATTCCGGTGGGCTGGGTGGCCAAACACACAGACCCGTTTTTCTGTCTCCAGCCCTTGCTGTGTCCGTTTCTGAGATGGAGGGTGGGGGCTGAAGGGCTCAGAGGAGAGCAGCTGCAATGAAGGCAGAGAAATGCCAGGGTCCAGCACTGACTCCAGCAAGATCCCACTCGCTCTGTGGCCCCACAAAACAGGCAGGAGGTTTACTGAGACCATGGCTAGGAGAGGCCCACCCTTAGCAAGTCCTCATTGAGTGTTAGTTGGGATGAGCAGTGTGAAGACAAGGGTGGCCTGGCTGCCATCCTGTGGGATGCTGGAGAGAGTGGGACCAGGGCAGTTCAGAGAAGGGACAGTGTGAGTAAAGGTATTACAAGTGACTCCCCCACCACCCCCTGCCAACCCCAGCAGCCAGGAACTATACTGTGCACTCTCACTCTAGATGGGCACTGCAGCCTTGGCATCCCTTCCAGAGAGCAGGGAGGGGTGAGGGTACCTGTGGGCAAGCTCCTACCAGCCCTGGACATCCCTGCCCCTTCCCAGTGTTGCACTCGCATGAATCACTGCCCAGCGACCTTCCGCCCCCTCCCCAAGGAGTGCCAGGCAGTGCCAGCCTCCAAACAGCATTTACTTTTTCCACCCACGTGTTCAATTAGAACTTGCCATGGCTTTCAGCTCCACTGCCTCACTTTTGTCCCTGTACCTCCATTGCTGTAATCAAAACAGAGTTCTCCCGCGAGGGAAGTGGTTTCCAGAGGCGCTGTCACATCGTAGGTGGATGTTTTTCTCCCTCAAACCCCAGCTCGTATGCCTTCGGTGATTGTGGATTTTCCCTGGTTGTGAACCCGCCTGTGTCTCCCTCCAGTCCTGCTTGATTCCCCAGTGCCTGTCCAGACACTGGGCGCCCAGTGGGTGCTGAATTGGTGCTGGCTGCTTGAGAGGACGAGAGCAAATTGACAACAGCACTGACCGCCCTCACCCCCTCTGCCCCTCCCGACACCAGCTCCACATAGACCCTCAGGGGGTCATTTCTCTCCTGGTCACCATTCTCAGCCAGGCCCACCAACCCCACCTCCCAACTCCACCTCACATCCATCTTCTTCCCCCATCTGCTGTTTCATAACCCCTGTTGATTGCCTTGCAAGCCCTTATTGCGATCTGTAATTGTTTTTATTTATGCGCTTGTTTACTCCTTTTCTATGTCTGATACATTAAAATGGAAGCTGCATGGTTTGGGGACAATGTCTGCCTTGGTCCCCATGTCTACCTGGTGGAGCAAGGCCAGGCTTCCAATGGGAACCCAATAAATATTTCAGACAGTGTAGAGTTAAACATTGCTCTCATAGTATTCAACTTGGCAGCCACCTACTGAGCTCATGGTACTGAGGACAGAGCGGCACAGCCCCTGCCCTCATGCACGTAGTAGTCTTCTAGGGGATACGGATGTGGAAATGACAGCGTAGGAAAGCGCCCACCCCAGGACTCGCTGCCCCCTGGGAGGAGCTCCTAGCCTTGGAGGGAGAGAGACCTGAGACCATCCATCCACAGATGATAAGTGCCACCTTGTCTGGGAGCCTTGGTCCCCAACTCCGGCTCTGTTGAGAGAATGTGGGGTGTCCCCGCCGCAGGGCAGGCCAGGGTGCTGGCTAAGTGCTAGCAGAGTGTTGCTAGATAGGGTTCAGGCATTTGGGGTACATGTCCCTTTGTTAGCAGCTCCTCGAGATGGGGAACAAGAAAATTATGGGGTGTAAGGCTTCATCAGCGTGGAGAGGAGAGTGAAGGCTGAGAAAATGGGTGTCACCACTGACATCAGGGATGTCCCAGCATGGACCAGGAAAACACATCCTGTCCAGATGGAGGCCCCAGAAAGACTGTCCCTATGTGCTGGCCACCACTCAGGCAGGGAGGCCCCTACAGCCACCCCTGTGAACAGCCCCCACAGTGAGGACCCTAGGAGGCCTCTGGGGATGGAGGGACCCTTCTACTCAGCCCTCCTCCTAGAAGGTGGCCTGCTCCCTTCTTCAAAATACTGGGGATGGGGGGAAGCCTCGCATGCCAACCAGTTCCCTAGTCTGTCCCCTTTGATTTTAATTTTGTTTTTTGGTTTAGTTTGGTTCCTTTTTTTTTTTTTTTTTTTACATACTAATTAGATGCAGACTTTTTTTCTTTGATTTTTATGGCCTACATATTTCCTAAGTTTTGCTGGCAGGATGACAGCTGATGGGTCCCTCGAGGTCTCAGGAAAACGCTGATGAGGCCAGCCCAGCAGGGGACTCGCCCGTTATTCTTCAGGCCCCTGTCTCAGGATTTGCCTCCCTCCTTTTTGTTGAGGGTGCCAAGAGAGCTGGGAATAATTGATGGCTCATTAAAGTCCCTCCTCCTGCAGACTGCTTACTCGGTGTTCCAAAGTCCAGCTTCCCCCAGAACAGGCAGTCACCCAGCCTGCAGCTGTGCGCACCTCTTAGGGGACAGAGGGCTAAGGACCCAGGGCACCACATGGAGGGGGCAGACCACATGCTCTGCAGGGACGGCAGCCATCCCCTGCCTTGTATCAGGGCATGCTTCTGTTAATCGGGGCTGAGTGCTGGCTGGTGTTCCAGGCATCTTCATGCTGGTTCCGAAAACCCAGGCGCCCAGTGGGTACCACAGTAATGCATGGAACGTGTCCTTTGTGCCAGGCTCTGAGACTTGCTGAGGTGACAGCAAGTTGTGTAAGTGACTGATGGAGTTGGAAACCAGATGCAAACTCCTGAGAATTCTGAGACACGCTTAGGCCCCCTACCCCCAGAGGCACCTGCAGTCCTCTCTCGTGCCCCAAGGCAGTGGGAAGGCAGCATCAGGCGGGTGGTGTGCAACGGAAGGAAGGGGAGACAGTGAGTTCTAGGATGCGAAGGGTCCTGAAGGGTTGGGGAGGCTGCACGGAGATGCAGCTTGTTTTTTCACTTTTCAAAATGGTGGTAAAATATACCCAACAGGAAACACAGTTCAGCCATCACAACTTCCCCACTATTCCCCAACCCAAAGCTGCAGGCCCACACCCGGTAAACCCTTGCTTCCCAGCAGCCTCCATTCCACCTCCCATCTCCTTAGCCTCGATGATGGAGTGAGGAGGAGAGGCTTCTGGGAAGCATGTGGGGACTGCCCTCGGCCGGTGAGAGTATCCTCCCTGGGTGCAAGATGGCAGAGGCATTGTGACCCAGGAATGCCTCTCGGTGTACAAAATCAACTGGGGATTTACAGGCAGAGCTCCGGTGACTCCCAAATGTTCTGGTCCATGGAGAAAGTTGTCAGAAAACCCCCTCAGAGGCCAGGGAGCCCCCCAAGGCTGTCCGAGAAGGAGCATAGGAGATTCCGGGCCCAGAGCTCTTCCTGTGGGTGAAGGGGCTCCCAGACCTTGCATGTCCCTGGATGTTTATGGCTTGGAACCCCCTCTCAGAAGCTCAGTAAACATGTTTCCGTACTAACATGGGCTCAGTGACCCAGACTTTACCTCTGTGAGTCCAGAGCTTTAGAAGCTGATAGAATAACATCTTGCTATGTGCCCTTATTTAATATTTTATTTTTTGAAGATGTATTTATTGATATATTTATTGGTGTAACTGAAAGTCAGAGTTACAGGGAGAGATAACAGAGACAGATCTTCCATCCACTGGTTCACTGCCCAGGTGGCCACAGCAGCTAGGGCTGGGCCAGGCCAACAAGAGTCAAGCGCTTCATCCTATGTGGAGGAGCTCATAGGCCATCTTGTACTGCTCTTCCCCAGTCCATTAGCAGGGAGCTGGATTGGAAGTGGAATAGCCAGAAGTCATGCCCTAGGGGATGCCAGAATTGCAGACAGTGGCTTTACTCACTGTGCCACAACACTGGCCCTAGGATTTCTTTTGATGACATGTCAGTGTGTGTGTATGAGAGACTTGGACCTGACCATTATCACTGTGGCCCCTGAGTGTTTGGAGTCAGGAAAGAGAAGGCTGTGTGTTAGCACTGTGGCCAGCTGCCTCCATGGGCTTGGGACCATTATAGGGACACTCTGGGTTTCAGCAAGGCTCAGGATCATTGACCCCCATCGCCCAAGAGGGCGACCCTGAATCCTTGCCAAGGATAGCATGGTGCTGGGCATAAAGTGCTTACATGGTGCCTAGCCCTAGTAGGTGCTTGGTAACTGCTCTCCATCCTGGCTGTTGTACTTAGTGCTTGCGCTAACCCAGAAATAAGTACAGTGGAGATGCAGCACTCTACATTAACTCTGGACCCCTGTGACTGGCCCAGGACCCAGCACCCAGGCCGAACACCTAAGGGCCCTGAAGGGCCCATGGTATTGGTGTTGTGACCGGCCCTGTTAGCATCATGAGTGAAGGGTGGGGCCTGACTCCTTCAGGTGGGTTTCATTTGAGTGGCACCTTGGGTGACTTTGTGGCCTGCAGCCCAGCCAAGTGTTCTCCTAGAGATGCAGCCTTTAGTCTCCAAGTTCACTGTCGCCATCATTAAGGAATCTGTTCAGCCTCCCCGGCCACAGTCTCGTGGTCTCCTGTGCATCTCCAGGGTCTGCAGAGAAATGCCCGTGCTCCTCTAACCCTGCCCCTCAGCCTCCCGTATTTGTTAAAGGGTGAGCGTTCAGGGCTTCAGGGCTGGGGGTCTGAACTTGGCAGAGGACGCTCGTCCAAGTCCCTGTCCTGGAAAGGCAGCCTCGACACCACCACTGCCACCCCCCAACATAAACAGAACAGCTTGTATGCCGTGTCTGAACAGTAAAACTGCTGTCTAAAGTTTGCTTTAATATTTATGTGTTCAGCACTGCCGCCTGGGCTCAAGCTCCATCAAAGCTTTTATTGTGAGAGTGTTTGGAAATTCAGGCGACGGAGAGGAGGGAACTGCTGTGTGCGCCATCACCCTCTCTCCAAAGCCCCCTAGCCTCTCCCCCATTCCACCCCACCCCACCATCTTTCTCCTCCGCTGCCCCTCTCCCCCACCCCTCCATCCAGCCTCTGCTTCTGCACTCTCTTCCTCTCTGCCAAGAGAACTCTTTCCCAAGCCCTCTGAGAGGACTGTGTTCAATATTTATAAGCCACGGCTGGGCTGCACTAACCAGCAGTAGCTGGCGCCACAAGACTTGCTCCGCCAGACATGGAGTACGTCGGGGTAGGACTGGAGGCGGGGGGACCACAGTGCACTGTTCATAGAATGCAGATGGCAGTGGAAGAGCATGAGGCCCCATCACCGGAGCTCTCTGTAAGCCCACCTCTGTGGTGCACTGGGCGTGCCAGTCAATCTTCTGGCCCGTTGGGGTTGTGGTGCCAGCTCTGATGTCACTGGAGATAAGTGAGTGGCCCCACCCATCCTCCATACACGTGTCTGTCCTGGCCACAGAGGCCTTCCCCCCGACAGCCTCCTCTTTTGCAAGGTCTTGTTCCTCTGCAGGCCTGGGCAATTTCCCCCAAGGAGGGATGGATGATACCGGGTAAGAATGACACCATGGCTGACCTGTCCCGCCCCAAGGACTAGTCAGCTGCCCATTTTTCCCATTCACATGTGCTCTGATGTCTGAATTCCCACCTTCATGAACTGCTCTACTTCCCTGTCAGCCTCCTCTTCTTCATCCGTGAGCGGGGCGGGGATGTGTGTGGCCACGTGATTGTGTGAGAAGGCACAGAGTTCTGGCTGGCAGTGCCTGTAGCCTGGAGAGTAAGCTCCTCCCTGGGGTCATATCCACACTCTCTGTGCGTGGAAACCAGGCCTTCTGTCCAAAGAACCAGTCACCCAACTTTGTGGTGTCTCCCCAGCAGACACATGCCCAGCAGTGGGTGCCCGTGTACTATGGTGGCTGCATGAGCCCTAAGGCCTTGGCTAGCTGACTGGGCAACAGGATCAATACAGAATTGTGTGTCCCTGGGAAATAATGAGGTCTCTCCAAGGACTGTGTGCCTCAAAGGATGGTCCTGGGTCTCTGCTCCCTCCCTACTATCTCAAGAAGATAGTAGCAGGGTTGGGTATTGGTTCCATGCGTTAAGACCCTGGGCTTCTCAGCCATGCCTCCAGGGTTATTCCGTGTCTAGTGGCCGCTTTCCCTCTCCTGGGGCAGCAGCACGTCACTCGCATGTGAGTGAGAGTTGGCACTACGCACAGCTCCTGGTCCCCGCACATGGGGCTCCCTGCAAGGGCTGTCGCGGGAGGCTGTCCCCGGCTGTCGCGTTGGAGGTGATGGATGGGCCCAGCTGAAGAAAGGAAGGTTTCTGGGGGAGATGCACAGCTGGCACACGCGTACGTCTCCCATCCCATTTCCAGCTCACATTCAGAATGATAGAGTGAAAGAAGAAAGAGCAAGAACGGACAGGGGCAAGATGGTGTCCCCAGCCCTGGGATTGAGGGGTGCACAGCTCCTTCTCCCTCCTGCCCCTACCACAGCCCCTCTTCTGGGCTGGGTTTGCACACATCCTCAAGTAACCAAGAACTTCCCACCCAAGCAAGACTTCTTCCCGTCTGTGCCCCAGGGAGAGTTCAAGGCCTAGAAGTGGCGACAACAGCCGTCCAGCCAGCCATCCACTCCCTGGCCCACTCCCCATGTTGCACTGCCAAGCTGGCAGCCTGCCGGACTCCATTGGGAATTCCCTAAGAATAGGGCCAAACTCAGCCTCCAGCCAGCTCTCAGGCAGGTGGAGACTGGCCAGAGCCTTTCTCACCAACATCTCACAAGACAGCCTTGCACATTGTCGTGGGGACTCTACCATCCTGGAGCTGAGAAAGGCAGGTTGGAGGTCCCCCTCCCCCATATGGGTGGCAGCAGAGACCATCAGAGGGCATCAGACCCACTCTCTGTGAATCACTGGCCCAGTAGAAGGAGGCCTGCCCAGGGGGATCTACTTAGTGCCTGCCTGCTGCGGTAACAAAAGACCCCATGCCTCCAAGTGCTGCAGGCCAGGATGCCCAGCATCACTACGGCCTGCGAGGCCCTGTGTGGTCTGGACCACGGAGCGCTGCAGCAGCATGCACCTTACTGGGGCTGGGCATGGGAAGAGCCTGAAGTGGCCCAGCCCCAGGGAACCCGTGCCTCCAACACAGCCTAACCCTGTCCTTCTCCCCCACAGAGTACGCGGAGAACATCGGCGACGGTAGGAGCTCCGAGTTCCGCGAGAGCGAGCAGAAGCGCATCCTGGGCTTGCTGGAGAACTTCTAGAGCCGGGGAACTGCCCCTGCTGGCAGCCCCGGCTGCCCTCCCCAGAGCCAGTTTTCCCCCAGTGTCCTTGGCTTTTGGACAGAATAAAGCTAGTTTTGGAATCCCTGGCCTGGCATCCTTGGTCACAGAGCCCCATACCCCTGTGACAGGGCTTGGGGTTCACCCACGTAGGCCTGTGGTGGGCTTGTCACAGCTGAGGTTTAGTTCGCGCTTCAATGACAGCGACAGGGCCTGTGAATCAGTCAGGTGCTCAAGCCCTGCAGCGCTTGTTACCCTCAATTTCTAGAAGAGTCAGCAGAGGCCACAGAGTGGCAGAGCCTGGGTTCAAAGCCAGGGCTGTGCTGGGCACTCCTGCTGCGCCGAACTGCCTTCTGTGTGGGGCACAGCGGCAATCACCATACCAGGCTCCCACCTCCCACCCACCCCCCTGTCCGTCAATGGCTTGATGGATTCACAAAGCACAGAGCATGCAGTGTCGTGGACTTCTGAGCTAAGACTGGAACTCTTAGACTTTACTGGTTCCCAGGAAGCTAATGCAGACAGAAGTTCATGACTGAGCACGAACCTGAGCCGTGCAGTGTCCCTGTTCAGTTTCGACCCCCGAGGCCCCCCTCCGTCTCTGGAGGCAAAGCCCTGCCTGACTGTTCTCGGTGCGGTCTTACTGAAGCCCAGCCTCCTCACAAGCCAGCACAGGAGGACAGGGTGCAGACAGTTCCAGGCCATGCAAGCCCTTACCACCAAGGTTGCTCCTCTTGGGGACTCAGCTGTCATTTTTCCAATGAGGAAGGGGTGGCTGGGGATGACTTGGTGGCTGTCAGTGCTCTGAGGACTTAGCTCCAGCAGCAGAGCACGGAGCAGAGAGAAGAGAGCAGCCCCTGTTCTTCGAACATCCTGCTCCCCAAAGCTGCCAAGGACGCTTCTGTACAAGTGATTGCCCACCTCACCCTCCCTGAGGCACGGGCCTAGCTGTGGTGTCTGCTCACTATGGTGCTGTCTACCTCCCATGGTGCCCCACCCCTCTGGGTGGACTTTCTAGCCTCCCACTGAAGACTACCCCTCTACCATGTCCCATGACCCCAGACTTAACCCTCAATGATACACAAGCTCTACCTCGTGACCTTTCCCCAGAGCTGAGTGGCACCAGAGCATCGTACCCAGAAGGGCAGGATTCCTTTCTCTCTGAAACTCAGCAAGCAGACAGCCCCTCAGCAGTGCCGGCCAGCATTGCTTCCCCTGACTCCACTCCCCACTTGCTGCTCTGCTCACAGTGGCCCGCACGCCTGAATTCCAGGCCGTGTCTAATTTAGAGAGATTTGCATGCAGGCTGCGCGCCTGCTGTATCTGGGGGGAAATGCATTGTCAGGGAAGCTGCAAGGCGTCCTTCAGTCCCCACCGTGGCACCCGTGCCAGGTGGCATCTTCTGCCGTTACAGGGAGTGCCAATTTAGTGTCAACGGGGAGACAGACTCGCTTCCTGAAGGCAGGGCTTCTTGATTAGACTCTCTTCCCCAACAGTGGTGCTAAGAACAGAACCCCATTTTCCTAGCTGTCTCGTTCTGTGGCACACACGGGAAGTGGCTGGCCTCACAGCAGTGGGTCTTCGTTATCTGGGCCAGCGAAAATGGCGTGTTCCTGCAATCACCTTTCTCTTGATTACGTAGCGTGTGCTCTTAGAAAAAGCTCCAGTAGGCACATACAGGTGGAGGACGGTACACAAACCCTCCGTCCACCAGCATCCCTCCTCCCTAAAGGAGCCATCGCTAATGAGCTGAAGCAAGAGTCGCAGGTGTGCTCGGGGCGGGGGTGGTGGAAATTTTGTATTAAGACAGGTGCCCTCTGGTCTGCACCCTGCATCTCCCTCTGAATCGTCCAAGCACACGGCACGGCCCCCAGTGCTTCTGACACCTGAGCTGTATCGTAAGACTGCCCTACAAGGTGGTGAATCGCACAAACGGGCACTGAGGCGGCTCCCCCATCACGGGCCATCACAAGGCTGTCACGCACATTAGTTCACACTCCTGTGAGCTGCAGTTCTAAGCAGAGCAGCTGAGCCATACAGCAGCTGCCTTTCTCATTGACATACATGTGGCCACGCTGCCCCCTGTCCATCGTCGGCAAACCCAGTGTCACTGCCCAGAGGGAAGGCCCGAGCTCCAGCCTCTGCAGGTGAGCAGATGTGTCCGCTCAGTCACGCCTCTGTGTCTCCCAGGGAGTGAGGGAAGAAGGCAGTGTGGGCGTACAGAGCTTGCCATCCAAACAGCCAAGGGCTGTGCCTGTTTAACCCCCATTCCTGAAGTGTGAGTGATCGCATCGGTCACCCACCCATTTCACAGATGGAGACAGTCCGTAGTTTACAGAGTGACACAGCTAGGAGGAGGGGCACTTGAACAAGCCCTGCTGCTTAACCTACACTATTCCCTACCTCCCTCCCTACCAGCACAAGGGGCTTGGCTGCAGCCAGGGAAATGGGAATAGAACATGCTGGAAGCAGAATGAGGTCATGAGGCCTTTCTGCAACCTGCCGATCACAGCCCCCAGGGATCGACTCCCAGGATGGCAGGCAGCCCCACCCAGGAAATCCCAGGATGCATGGGTGGCAGGGACCTGACTACTTGGGCCATCCCCTGCTGCCTTCCAGGGTACACATGAGCAGGAGCTGGACTGTGAGTGAAGGCAGGACCATAGTCCAGGCACCCCGGTGTGGCTGCAACAACCTGAGGACATCTTCAGCACTGCGTCACAGTACCTGTCCCAGCATGGAGGCACGGAGAGCCTGGGCCGACGGGGAATCAGGTGCAAGAAGGGAGAGCGGGCTGGGGACCAGGGACTCCCCGCACTGTGCTGGAGTTTAAGGGACCCGACCTGAAACCCCACCCCAGCTCTAAGGACTGGGAGAACCTTGCTGGCCCAGCAGGAGTCAGGTGGTGCCGGGAGACTGCAGCCCAGTATATAAATATCTTTAATGAATAAATAGAAGTGCTTTTAGGGCTAGCAGAGTCATATCATTTCCACCTGCCATAAAATTTCATTAGAAGCAAGCGCTGCAGGGGAGAGGAACGGCGGCAATAAATCTGCACACCCACCCTCAGCCCTGCCTCCACCATGGGCAGCCTCAGCCCTACTCCTGGGAGAGCCCAGGCCCAGGGCAGTCCTTTACCTGACCCCCACGCCTTCCAGGAGACAGCAGTGGCCAAGAATGGGGCCCAGGGGAGTCCTCCGCACTGAAAACCAGGGGCCTCAGTCTCCTGGACTGAGAAATGGGCAAGCACCGCAGACCCTGTCCCAGCCGAGGTAGAGGGAGAACTGGGCAGACAAGCTGCTCAGAGCATCTGATTTTTCAAGGGAGAAACCAGGGGTTCCTAGAGAGCGGATGACTGACCTCAGACCACCCGCGATGGGGACTTCAGCCCTTCTTAAGTGTCAGTGTGACGGCTGAATCCCTTAAGCACTGACTGGATGCCTGGCTTGTCTCATCCTCTCCACAGGCCCCACCTTGTGGAATCCTGAGTGTCCCAGTCCATTTTACACAAGAGAGTCCCAAAGCACGGAGAGAGAGAGAAGAAGGATCCAGCCACCTGTCATTTAGGGGCAGTCTCCACACTGGTGGCAGCTGCCTGCTGGTTTTCTCAGGCATGGTGGAGCCAGCGGTGTGTTCTTTTGACTTCAGGGGGTCCCCCAGCAGTCCTCTTGGGTGCAGGCCGCTAGAAGCAAGCACTGCTGTCCCTGGTCCTTTCCAGCATCCCTGGAGCACAGTCCAAGGTCACCCTGTTCAGCCCTGTGTTGTCACATCAGAATTGCAGTGCAAAGAAATCGAGGGATTTGCCCAAGGTCACACACCTGTGCCACTGGATTCCGAGAATAGGTCCCTCCCAGACATACGTGCCGCCCCTACTCCAGGGTGCAGGCCGGGAAGCCTGGCCAAATGGTCAGACCCAGCTGGTAGTGTAGCTGAGCCCATGGTAATCAGCTCAGCTCGTTAAGTAGCCATGACAGGACATGGCCTAGGCCAGCTGCCTTCCCACCCTACCCCGCTTCAGCCCTCCTGGGAGCAAGCCACAGATTAGGGCTCCTGCGGTAGCTGCCGCAAGCAAAAGCCTCCCTGTAACTCGGGGAGATTAACAGATGCACAGGGCTGGCTTCACCAACCAGCCAGGGAACCCAACTGCTGTGGCCACCTCCAGGCTGGCCATGAAAATCCACTTGGGCAGTGGCCACAGGGCAAAAGGCTAGCCTGGCTACTCCCCCACTGGGGGGTCCCTCCTCATTGGGGTGCAAGAGAATGACTGGGCTGCTGCTCTCTGGCTCTCTAATGATGACGGAAAGTCATTATAATTCAGAGAGCAAGTGCAATATTGGTGGGGGGCAGACAAAGCTAGCAGGAGGTGGGGAGCCCAGCACAGCCCAGCTGCACCTGGGCACATAGCCCTGCAATGTCATCGTCCCCCACAGAGGACAGCACATTATTAGTGTTATTAATTATCATTAATCTAATTAAATGGTCATTACAATTAAGAACACAGCGATAAAAACGCCGCCTTGGACTTCAGTGCATCTTCTCTGGCATCGAGGTGAGTGATGTCGCCTGGGCTCATCCTGTGCACACAGTAGATGCTCAGCCCAAGTTCAAAGTCACAGCTCCGAGATCACAAACTCCAGCTCCTCTCTCCTTGACAGCTGGACAGACTGAGGCCCCCGGCTCAAGGTGGGGAAGCCTGACTCCATGCCTGCCACATCCCAGCTCGCTCCATCCCTAACAGCCTTTTGTTCAATCCAGGACAAAACAGCTGTCAGAGGCAGCCATCCTGTTTCTGCTTAAACAAGACCAATTCTATAGGAACAGGGCAGGCGGCATCCTGGACACCTAATTACACAGCCTGGAAGGAGGAACATGTGTGGGGAGAGAGAAATCTGAACACACTGGTCAGTCAGGGAGCCACGACCCCATTGCTGTCACCAGCACTGCCTGCTCTCCCAGGCCTCTGGAGACTTGTCACCCCCAGGCCAAGGCTCCCACCCCTACCTGCCTTCCAGCCCACACTGATGCCTGCGGAATGGCCTCCCAGTGCCATCCCAGCAACCAGTGGGTTCAAGCCACTTAGC